AATTCATTATTAGCAGCCACAAGCTCAAGAATATAAGATATACAGATGCAACAGAGTTGATAGTAAACAAAGAAACTACAGGAATTGCTACAGATGGTAGTAAAAGAAAGCAAGAAGAAAGGACTAACCATCAATTGTAAGACAGAATATATGGTGGTCAAAAAGAGAAAGAACACAAGATGCAAACTATGAATTGGAGATACTAAAATCAAGCAAGTAAAAAAATTTAAATATCTAGGAAGTGTTTTAACAGAGGACAGGAAATGTGGAATCAAAATCCCAAGACACATTGGGATAGCAAAAGATGCCTTCCAAAAGCTAATCAAAGTATTAAGAAACAGGAAAATTTTCTTAGAAACAAAGAAAAGAGTGCTGAAATGTTATGTAATATTGGCCGTCGTATATGAAAGTGAATGCTAGACAATCTCCTCACAGACGAAAAAGACCTGAAGCAACAGAAATATACTTCTAGAGAAGGGTGCTAAGAATACCATAGACTGAACATGTGAGTAACGAGGAAGTTTTAAGGATAATGGAAACAAAAAGAATACTTAGAACCAGAAAGAGATAGCTAGGACACTTAATGAAGAAAGCAGGCTTGGAAAATTTGATACTCACAGGACATATTGAAGCTAAGAGGAAAGCAGAGAGTAAACTACCTAATGAGCTTGTGTAAGTGGTTGGTAGAATGGAGATTAGGAGGGATAGCAAAAAGACAAACTTTACTAAAAGCTACAAAGGACAGGAAGTTGTGAAGAGACATGATTGCCAACATCCTGGCATGGCACATAGAAGAAGAAAAGGAGTTCAAAGCAAGGAAATGTTTTAATGATTCAGGTGTAATTGCAGTAGTTGATTAATATTTCAATGACCAAATATTTTGGTAGAGAAACATTGCAATATGCCAAGTGTGTTGAACTTTGGGATAAACATGTGGAATTGGATCTGTGTCCCATGGTACCAGGTCATTTGCTTCTTGGTTGAGCTGAGAAATTTTTACCATCCTCTTATATACTTTTAAGAATTTGTATGCAAGAGAATTAATGCTATGGGAATAATAATAATAATAATAATAATAGCCATTATGATTAAACTTAGTTGATAGGTTAAGATAACTGAAAATATCCAATGTTAAAGAGGTCTGTACTAATTTTGAAGTAAAATATATATTGATAAAATTATGTGGCTGAGTGGTTAGAATATTAGTATTCTGACCATGAGAGTAGGGTTCAAATCTCAAATCTCCAAATCTTGTCAAGCAAATGACTACCTGATTATACAAGTTTGGTAAAACAATCCTAGCATGGAGCACAGTTGGGAAAATCTGAAAACCGTGCAAATATTGACCCAAGCCTTGTGGGTAAAATTGGGTAGACAAAACCGTTTGGAAACCATTGATGGTTGTGCTAGCATGAAGTCACAAGTCATCGTGATCGAAGATTTGAGTGTACTGGCCTTGTTCAAACTGATGATCCTGACAGATTATGCAGTCTCTCCAAGAAACTGTAATTAAGGCCTGCCCAGCATAGATGTATGTTACTCACTTCTTTCCCATGTCCCTCTTACCTTCAATATGTCTTGTGAGTATCAAATTCTCCAAGCCTGCTTTCCTCATTAAGTATCCTAGAAATGTCACATGCCTCTTTCTGGTTTTATATATTCTTTTCATTTCTACAGGTTGGCTTTGTTGGCATTAAAGATATAAAAATGTGCCTGAGCAGGTATCTGCAACAAGGAATAGCAAGCCACTCTAGCAGACAGACATACTTGGAAACAAGTGACCAGCAAGAAAGAATGTTGAAAAAATACATAATGTCGATATCAAAATGTTTTTTTGAAAACAAGTCATGACCTAAAAAATATTTCTTTTAAATTTTTGTGGCTTCCAGGATTTAATGTCACTTATTTTACATTTTTTTGTCACTGTAAATTTAAAATTGCTTTGGAATCTATTTTCAGAACTGAACAATACACAGTTTGCAGGATACTAAATGAGGCATTAATGCAGGAACTTTACTTCCATTCAATTTCTCTCTTAAAGTACCAGTTTTGTTCAAACCATTGCTGCATCTACTTGCAAGGAAAGTTGGGTCACTGTGTCGTGCCAGAAAATTTTTCTTGTCAGAGTCCATCTTGCATGTCTACAAATCTACCATTTGTCCATGCATTGAATACTGTTGTCATATCTGGTCTAGTGGCCCTGCTATTCATCTGAAGCTTCTTGAGAAAATCCCAAGACAGATCTGCAATGTACTTGACTCTGACTTGGCATCTCGACTTCAGTCACTTTTTCACTGACTTGACTTCCCTTTATTTTTTCAACAAATATTTTCATGGTAACTTCTCTAACAATCTTTTTTACCCCTGGTGTCTTGAATACATGAATTTAAGCATGCTACTAGATTGGCATTTAGGACTCACACGTTTACTGTTGAAATAGTTTAATGCAACTGCCACTTCTCCTCCAAAAGTTTCTTTTCTCGTACTTCCTGCCTGTGTAACTCCCTTCCATTTATTTGCTTCCCTGATAAATACAATCTTCAAAAATTTAAATGCAATGTCAATCAACATCTTCTGTTTTCTTGAATCTCATTCTCTTTTGTTCTTTCCTCAATCCTTCCTATACTCTTTTCTCTCACTTTCACTCTCTGTAAACCCGTACATGGTAGTGGCATTCCTTCCTTGTTTGGGGTGAAATGATTAAAAAAAATAAAAATCTACTGTTCACGCCACAATATGTACTCTTTCCTAGATACTAACTAATGTCTGCTCAGCACAATTGCAGTATAAACTACAAATTGGCTCTTTGTGTGTTGAAGAAATGCAGGTGTGACTGAGCAGGTCAGCAATAGGGATTAGCTACCTGCTCTAATAGATGAAATTATTATTATTCATTATGTATTGATAAAACAGTTTTTTTAATGTTTTATTTTCTTTCTCTTACTGTTAAAAAGTAAACCTAGGCTTTGTTATTTTTTGCTTATATTAGTCTAGGTAATGCCAAAGATTTTCTAAAAACAAAAACAGCATAGCATGATGCAATAATGGCCCCCAATGTTTTAACATCAAAATGTTTGTTATTATTAAGAGGAAAAAACAAAGTATTTTTTATTATTTTCTTAAATTTTTTAATCCTTTATAGCAAATTTCAAATTTTGGTTAAACATTGTTTTTCTTGCATCAGTGGGTCAGCCAAATATTAGTATGAGAAATTTAGCATCTTTTTTGTGATAAAAAAAGACATTAATTTGGAAATTCTTGCAAAAATCAAATAATTGTCAAATTTTAATGACATTTTTAGAACTTGTTCACAAATGAATGAAATTATTTTAAAAAAAAAATATTTTTTGAAAAATCTTGGCAAAATATCTTTTTTTAAACATCTTTTTACCTCCACATACAAAATTTTATGAAATTTTGAAAAATTAAATTAACACCCCCTTAATATATTAGTTAAAAGCAGGATTCCTTGGAGAATTTAATTTGCTTTTGTCAAACAGAAACACTATTTACAAAAATCTGTTCTGAATCGTAAAAATAAAAAATGCAATAAAAGTATGACATTATTTAATTAGAAAAGCTTTTAATTGTTTTATAAATTTGATTTATTAAGGAAACTATTCTCTTAAACATTTTTTTCAATGAATAATGCATTTTGATAAGAATTGTTTTCTTTTTTAATTTTAATTAGAAAAATTTATTAAGTTTACATTTTTTTAAATTCTATATTAATTTCAGCCTTTTAGATTTTATTATTAAGTGAAAACTATATTTACTATCATAAATGGAAAAGCTTAATACAAGTCATCAAAGACCAAGATTTTTAAAAGAATTTTGCATTTTTTTTTGTGTGTGTATGAATGTGCCCATTTTTGTAAGTACAGGTGACTATACACAACCTTATAAGAAAATAAGAGCAATAACTATAGTAAAAATTTAAAAGCAGAATTTCTAAAATTTGATAAGACATCAAATTACTGAATACTTAAAAATTATATTAAAAAGTCACTCACATCATTTTCTTCAATTATGTTTTACAGATAAAGTCTCCATATGACATTAGATCTGTCAATACATTCTCAGCACATCAACATAGCTAAATAATATTTGTTTTAAATCAGATTAATTATACTTTAAATCAGCTAATATTCCTCGAATAAAGTTCCAAAAAAGTAAATTTTATTTTTGGAAGATATTATAATAAAGGGAATTACATTGCAGTGAAAAACATTTAAAGAAAAAAAGAAAAAAAAAATCAGCTAAATTAGCAAAAAAAAAAAAAAACTCCTTCCAGTCAATTTAAATTAGTTTTTGAAATAGAGCAAAGTATTTTGGTTATTGGAAATATTAAATTTAATTTTTAGCTTGAAATTAAAACTAAAGTAAAAGCTTCAAGAATGACTTTTCATTTTAAACCCTAAGTATCACATTTTTTTGTGGAGGTACCTATATTAGTCTTGTTGGTTGGTTGATTAATTTGTTTTTTATAGTTTATCAACCCTTTACAAGTTATTTTAAGCCAGCAAATATTTTAAATTGTAAGAATTTTTTTGGAGATAATAGCAATTCACTGATATAAGTCCTACTTATTGACCCATACCTGTGGGAGGGGAGAAGAGGCGCATTCTTACCTATCCCAAGAATATTTGCGTGTAAGTGAATATAACGAACCTGATAGGAATTTCCAATTCCAAACCATTATCTATTACACAATATGCACATCCAAGCTTACAGCACCTGCTATTTCCAAATGGTCACCCATTTAGGTACTGACCAAGCCCGACATTGCTTAACTTCAGCTATTGTTTAAGAACAAGTGTTTCAATATGATATAGCTATAAGCCCATTATATCATCTGCACATCCAAGCTTGCAGTTCTCAGCATCTCCAAGTAGTCACCCATCTACGTACTGACCAAGCTTAACATTGCTAATCATACAAGAACCGATATTTTAATGTGATATTGCCATAAACCCATTATACCATCTGCACATCCAAGCTTACAGTTTCTGGTATTCCCAAATGGTCACCTATCTAGGTATTAACCAGCTCAACATTGCTTAACTTTGGTGATCATATGAAAACCAGTACTTCAATGTGGTATAGCCATGAGCCCATTATACAATCTGTACATGCAAGCTTACTTCCTGGTATTCCCAAGTGGTCACCCATCTAGGTACTAACCAGGCTTAATGTTGCTTAACTTTGGTGATTGTATAAGAACCAGTGTAAACCATTAGCCTTGTAATTCATCAGGATATGAAATGATTGGCAAGTTGCAGAGTCTTTTTGGCAAGATCATTCAAAAGTTTTTCTCCAAGTTGAAGTGGTCAAATTAAAGAGGGAAAAAAAAAGGAATTTTTAAAGTTCATGCCAAAAAAAGCAAATATCATGCAATGATGCAAAAAAATGATTAGATGATTACATGACTTCTGATTGACTGCAGACAGACAATTAACTTTTTATCAAGATTTCTATTTTTATTACAACACTCAGTTTATTAAGTTATTGTTTTTATTTTCAAAATTAACTCAGTTCAGCAACAAATTTAAGTTTATTTTGGCCTGAATTTCTGAGATGAGGAAGTATCATTATCTACACTATTTATATTCAAACTATTGTCCTCATTTTTGTTGTTATTCTCACCTGATCACTGATCACACACTGTCTGAATTTCTGAGATGAGGAGTTATTATTATTCACACATTTTATATTCAGACTATTGTCCTGATCTTTGTTGTTATTATCACCTGATCACCTTCTGTCTGAATTTCTGGGATGAGAAGTTATGATTAATTACACTATATTCAAACTATTGTCCTCATTTTTGTTGTTATTCTCACCTGATCACTGATCACCTTCTGCCTGAATTTCTGGGATGAGGAGTTAGCATTGTTTACACTATTTATATTCAGACTATTGTCCCTATCTTTGTTGTTATCACAACATTTCAGCCATTGTGTCCTCTGTCCTTCATCAGGTATATATAGATCTGGGTTATCCACAGGGAATTTCAAACTGAACCCATTATTTAATCTATCGGAGGTAGATTGTTCTTGTTGCAGTGATCATGTCTAGGGATATTGTCTTGATCTTATTTTCATTTAGTATTGCTCTGTTATTGCTCACCAAAGGGATTGAACTCACAACCACTATGCCACAAAATTCACAAACAAATGCTTTTACACACTAGGTCATTGTTCCAGTGGGAACTGGCACACAATAACTGAACAATACTAAACAAAATAATAACTTGACATGATCAGTGGAATGAGAACAGTCTACTCCCATAGATTAAATAAAGAGTTCAGTTAAGAATTCTCTGTAGGTTGCCCAGATTGATATACACCTGAGGAACGTAGGAGGGTACAAAAGCTGAAATATTGTGATAGCAACAACAAAGATGAGAACAATAGTGTAAATAATATTTACGGTTATGTTACACTATATATTTTGTTATACTTGTTGAAATGTTCTTCCTCATAAAATTCTGGTGTCATTTTTATGGTCATGTACATTGGCTTGGGAAAGGAGTATATTTCCAAGCCAACGTACATGATCATAAACTTTTTTTAAAATAAAGAAATAATTTAAAATCAAAAACTTCTATTATTTATATTATAAATAAATAAATAAATAAATAATTTATCAAATTAAAATAATAAATAAGAATTACATTAATATATAAAAAAGTAATTAAATAAATACATATAAACAAATATGAAAATAAAAAATTCAACATTTACTCACTTTCATTTACTAGGCATTAAATTATGTCACTTAACGTCTTCCATAGTTTACCTTGACTTTCACAGCTTTAAGAAAAAAATCAAAGTGGAAAAAAAATTAAAAGAAAATGGGAGGACAAAACTGGTGCTTGATTAAAAGATAAAAGCCCCTTAAAGTGTATTTTTTGTTTCTGTTAAAAAAAAAAAAATATAATAATTGCTTCACCTATGATTTCTTTCTCTGATGAAGGGTTAGTCAAAAAATTCTTACGATATTTCCCCCTATGTTTTTAGTATTTAGATGTTTGCATCAGTTCTCTTTAAGAAAAGTAAATTTTGTGGTATCAAACCATTGTTTAAATATTTGAAAAAGAGATACCCCACCAACATTATTAATGACTTGAAAAGTGTATTTGTTTGAGGGGCAAATTGAGATTTTTATACCTGTCAAAATATTTTCTTGAATGTTGTCTTGTTCACCAAGTTGTTCCTTCATTTTTGAGACATAATTTGTCCAATATCTGTCTATATTTCTGAGATGAGGTATTATGTACATTATTCGGACTATTGTCCTCATCTTTGTTGCCATATTTATTACGTTTCTTCGCTGTGCCATGTGTCCTTGAGGACACATGGCACAGCGGAGAACTTTCAGTGGGGAAATTAACAGGAGATAACTGATAACTGCTGTACTTGAGGAAACATGGCACAGTGGATAAAGGTGTTGGTTAGATCCAGTGACAAGACGCAAAGAGTGTGAGTTCAATACCCAATTAAGGCAGTGGAGAACTTTCAGAAGAAAATTAACAGGAGATAACTGATAACTGACATCCATTAAACATGGCACATGGAACTAGAACAGTCTACCCCAGTGATCGAAATAAAGGATTCAGTTCAACATTCCAACCACCTGAAGAAGCGTACAACGGCTGAAACGTTGTAATAAATATTGCGACAAAGATGAGGACAATAGTGTAAATAATGTACAAAATTTGTCCAAATCCCAAATAAAATTTAGCTTAGTTTTGGAGAAGGCTTTTATAAATTTTCCAGTAGAGTGATGCACTTATCCATTCAGTGTCGTTCAGTATGAAGACCTGTTATGAGGCTGTAATCATTTTTTTTTTTTTTTTTTTACTATTTATTTAGGTTTCTCCTGTTATTAATCATCTGGTAGTATGTATATGGAGAAACGAGACCTTGCAAAATAGCAAAGATATTTAAATTACCCCTATAACAATTACCCCTATAACAATAAGGTATGGTTCCATTTCTGCTGACCAGTCTAGCTAGGCATATTATAAATTCGTCATTAATTTACATTGAGAACCTGGCATTGTCTAAGGGATTATTCTTCCATCCATTTAGTTTATGAAAGCGTATTTTTATTCCTTTTAAAAAATGATAGTTTTGTTTGCCAATGATTTTTTCTCTGATGAAGAGTTGGCCGAAAGGTTCTTCAGATATTTTTCTCCATTTTTCTTATGTTTACATCAGTTTTAATTTAGGTAACACACACATTTCCACATATAAGGTGACCTTTAGATGAGACGAAATCAAAACATATATATAAATTTATCTTATATCTGTAGTATAAGATAACTGCTTATTGATTAAAGATGATGTTGTTTGAAATGTTGTTACCTATTGTATCCTTGGAAATTAAAAATAAACAAAATGACGAAACCAATTCTATATCTTGTTTTTCGTACAAACGTCCCCTAACAGGGAAACCGTTGTTTTGTTTACATTATGTGATCTCTTGCAAATACTGATTCTTCTTCTTCCACTTCTTTTCCTATATCTAAACAGTTAAACATCCTGGTATACTAATGGCCATCTACTTACAGTACATCGACAGTCGCAAAATACTGCTAATAACAGTACAATAATTATCAGTTTATTTGATAATGGCAATCTTTTCATGTACGTTGTTGGTTACTGCACCGAGGTTAAGCTACCAACAATCATCACTCAGAATTTAAAGTTTCCATTTTAGAATTGTAGTAAAAAACAACCCAGAATTTTTAAGAGTGATTTTTGAGATTCAAAGGTCGTCTTATATGAGGAAAGGAAATATACAATATATCACACACACACACACAGTATATATGTGTGCAAATATATAGAAAAATAGGAAAGAACACATTAGGTAAATAATCCGAAGTTCTTTAGTATTTTTATTTTTCTAAAACAGTGCTCAATACAAAAGTAGAACCTAAATTATAATTATATTTATTTTTTTAAAAATAAAAATTCCAATAATTTTGCTTGAGGATGAAACAGAGCTTGATACTTTAATTCAATTTAATTTTAATAATTATATTGAAGTTTTTGGCTCTTGTTTTTGAAACATGAGAAGTCTTATATATTTTAAAAAAATAAATAGTATATATATATAGGAAATAGATTAAATCCAACATGTTTTTTAATTCACTTGTTTAAACATTAATGGATGCTCATATTTGTGGAGGTTCTACGTGGCTGAGTGGTCAAGGCATATCTGATCTAATGACAGTTTCCCCTAGGAGACGCACTTTTGAAACCTGCCAAAGGGTGCATATTTTTCTAACAAGATTTCTCGAATATTCAGGCCAGTAGATGTAAATAAATAAATATACTGTTTAATAAATAAATAAAAACAGTGTATCCATTCAAATATGAGTATAAGGATGAACACTCATAGTTGTTCATGGCTTACAAGTATTTAGAAAAAAATCTAATCAAGATCTATTGATAATTTATCTATACTGTCATTTTTTTTTAATATTCTAATGTTATTTTGATTTCTAGTGTATCAAACAGGGGGGTTTCTTATATTCTAACATTATTTTGATTTTTAATCATAGATTAATCATATATATTTCAATCTGTGGTCATCAGGGGACGAGTGTATCAAATAGGAGTTTCTTAGATTTTAACATTATTTTGATTTCTAATCATAATTTTATCATTTATAATCATATATATTTCATTCTGGGGTCATCAGGGAACTCATGTTTCAGACACGTGTTAGACACAAGTAGATTTTTAAGGAATAAAAATGCACATCTTTTGGAGCAAGAAGTACTATGCAGAGAAAATGAGTATAAGACAGGCACATATAAAATGTAAGTGAATCAGAATAACTTGATCAGCTGTACACTTGTGTAAGATAACTAGACTCGTATAATTTCAATGTTGAAACCAATAAATGTGAAAGCATTGCTGATGCCATAATGAAGTAATTATCTTTGTTCAATTTCATTGTTAGTTGCACTATGATTAGGTCTGGCCATGATATAATTAACCAGCAAAGAATTACACTAATAAGCTTCCATAGCAGTCAACAAACTATTAATTACATTAATTTGACACATACACCGTTCGATGAAAATAGTTTTCTCTTTGTCACTTTATATACAAGCAAATTATACTAAGCTCATAATGAAATTACATATTAGGAAGTAATTGAGAATGCTAACACACCTATATATCCAGAACATGTTATTTATAAGTGTGTATGTG